TTTTATTACATTTCTACCACCAAAAGGGCTTGTAAGTCAGGACTTGAAGTTGAACCTAAACATTCTTACAAGTTTGTTGTTAGTGTAAGTAGTAGTCCACCAAAGAAACCTGCCAATACTTGTATTGTCAATGTATCTTTGGAGAGAATAAAAGTTTTTTTATTACATTTCTACCACCAAAAGGGCTTGTAAGTCAGGACTTGAAGTTGAACCTAAACATTCTTACAAGTTTGTTGTTACCAGTGTAAGTAGTAGTCCACCAAAGAAACCTGCCAATACTTGTATTGTCAATGTATCTTTGGAGAGAATAAAAGTTTTTTTATTACATTTCTACCACCAAAAGGGCTTGTAAGTCAGGACTTGAAGTTGAACCTGAACATTCTTACAAGTTTGTTGTTACCAGTGTAAGTAGTAGTCCACCAAAGAAACCTGCCAATACTTGTATTGTCAATGTATCTTTGGAGAGAATAAAAGTTTTTTTATTACATTTCTACCACCAAAAGGGCTTGTAAGTCAGGACTTGAAGTTGAACCTAAACATTCTTACAAGTTTGTTGTTAGTGTAAGTAGTAGTCCACCAAAGAAACCTGCCAATACTTGTATTGTCAATGTATCTTTGGAGAGAATAAAAGTTTTTTTATTACATTTCTACCACCAAAAGGGCTTGTAAGTCAGGACTTGAAGTTGAACCTAAACATTCTTACAAGTTTGTTGTTACCAGTGTAAGTAGTAGTCCTCCAAAGAAGAAACCTGCCAATACTTGTATTGTCAATGTATCTTTGGAGAGAATAAAAGTTTTTTTATTACATTTCTACCACCAAAAGGGCTTGTTTTATTATATCTTTTCCTTACTATTGTCTACTGAGGAAGACCAGAGTGACTGGTCGAAAGCTCTAGGTGAGAGTATTTTTTTGTGTTGGACGAAAAGTTTTAACTTTAAACATGTAACTACCAACACAGATGGACTTTCATGATAGTAAACGAAAACCTGCACTTCATCAAAACCTTACGATTGACTTTGTCTTTTTTCCATAGAAATTTAAAGAATAATAACATTATTGAGACATGTATCTGGAGGTGTTAGTGCACCCAGCACATATAACAGTTGCGATGCAACTAAGCTAAGTTTGATAACAATAATTTTTTCCCAAAATACATTGCTTGCAAGTGTTTTGCCTTCCTAATTATTTCCAGCTAGTCTATCTTCTGACATACCTCATGTAAAGAGGCTGGAAAGAAATGCTGCAAGGTGCAAAGATTGCCCTTATACAATGCTTAATAATAACCTAATCTGTGGCACCCTCCCCCATTCATAATTCATCAACAAAAGACATGCTAGGCCTCTGCAAAAGTTAAGCGCAATTCACCATGACATATGACATCACCGGCGACATTAATGACCGCTCGGCCATTATGCTGACATAACCAATAGGAAATGGGGGCCTTTGGTCATCGCAATCTTGCTATATGATAATGTAAGATCAAGAAAATTCATTGAATTTAAACCTATTGAAAATTTACTGGAAAAATATTGTACAAGCGTTCCTAGAATTGGATGCAATCTGCTGTATTCCTTTGTGGATGGCTGGGTCCTCTTCTGTCTGGTTCCTGTCCGGTCAGTTTCTCCAGGACTCTTTGCTTCCTTCCCTAGGTGAGGTCCCATCTGGAAGATTGAAAAAAAGAGTAAGCTAGATATAAAACCTGAGCAGAAACATAGATCAAAGAAATTATACATTGATTAGTCACTGCCGTTGGAGACTTGTCCCTCTGAGAGGGGATATGTGTAAAGTGCCTTTCGTTGGCAAAACAGTATCCATTATCCAGAGGAGTTTGTACGGCCACCTATGGTGGCTACTTGACACTATTCAGCTGGCCTATATCAGTATATGGACACTGCCTTGTGACCATATGATCTGCTTGGAGATAACAGGCATTACACGAAAGCAGTCACTTCCTACATGTATATTTATACTAGTATTAAGGCTTACCTACATACACCTCCACTTCACACAGCGTAAGTATTCCCGCTGGCCCGGGGAGGCTTACTCCGACATACCGGCCCCAGAGCCCGCCAAAGTCGATGTAGAAGACGCCCCTGTTGGTGTAGTCGCTCCCCCACTCACCACCACACTTCTGGCTGGACGCAACCGGGTCCCCTTGCTTGAGGGCCGAACACTCCGCCATGCAATGCCACATAGTCATTAATGCAGTAATAAACACCTGTAAACATGGTATTACAGGGGGAAAGCTTTTAAAGTTGAAACATGAGAGTAAGAAGGCACATAACAATGAGATGAAATAAAAGAATTAATAGAGCTGCATCAAAAAAAAAAGAAAAACATCTGTGGTATTTGCCCATTCCTGAAATGAAAAAAAAATAGAAGATTACATAAAAAATACCTATGGTATGGAGTGAAAATATAACCATCAAAAGAGAGAGCATTTGTTGATGTCGTTATTTATTTCTTGTCATTATTATTATTTTTTCAATTTTTTTTCACTCATTTCCTCTTTTTAAAATTATTTTTCTTCATTCCTCTCTACCTCATTCACCGGGGTCTTTACCCCATTCACCAGGGGTTACTTTTTCCACCCATGTCCCAATCACTGGACAAGCTTGTGGTTTTCCACCCATGTCCCAATCACTGGACAAGCTTGTGGTTTTCCACCCATGTCCCAATCACTGGACAAGCTTGTGGTTTTCCACCCATGTCCTAATCACTGGACAAGCTTGTGGTTTTCCACCCATGTCCCAATCACCGGACAAGCTTGTAGTTTTCCTCCCTACTCCCTGATCAGTACAATAATGACCTTTAAGGACGTGCATACATGGCACTTGTGAGATTGTCTTTGGAGTATGCCTCCTCGGTATGGGATCCCCATACTGCCGAATAGGTGAGCAGGGTGCAGTGTAGAGCAGCCAGGTATGTATGTAACAGCTACAAACACACGGCCTCCGTGACAGCAATGCTCAGAGATCTGGGATGGCAGCCACTCTCTCAACGCTGCAAAACAGCTAGGCTGACCACCATGTTCAAAATCCTGCACAACACCTAATGATCTCAGTCCCCCTAACCTCTTGTCACGTCCCAGCAGCTCGATCCTCCCGCCGCACTAATCAATTGCCCTCAAGCTGCAGACCATCATGTGTAAGACCAACTACTACAGGCTCTCATTCTTCCCTCGTACCATCAAAGAGTAGAATAAACTTGAGCCTAGTGTGGCAAAGGCGGAGTCCCTCTCCCAGTTCAAAGCTAACCAGTGACGGGATTGATACAAATTCAAAGTGCTTCATGCCATTGTACCTTTTCACAGCTTATTGCGGCATCATTCATACAGCGTAAACAGCATCATGGTAACTTTCAAATGTCTGTATAACCCCACAGCTCACATTTGATGGCAATGGCAAAATACAAATATGGTCAACACAGCACCCTAATTGTTTATCATCGGGATGACGATAATGAAGTGTTTTTATCTTTGTTACTCCATGAATGATCAATGAAAGTGCCTTTCACAGTCATAGGAGCCTCATGAACTGTTCATAGCCATTTCTCATTAATAATCATGGAATCTTTTGTTTTCCTCACTTCACAGTAAATTGTCATTGAAGTCACCAAGAATGGCCGTGTGATTTCTTTCCACTGCAGACAGGTGCTGCTGTATAAACAGCTACAATAAATGATTCATGCCTTCAGCAGAAACTGGCATAAAGACACAGAATCCTACGCCAATGTCATAAATGGGATGGGAAATTCTGAGCACCTGTATACGTCAACGGTCAAAGACATACACTAAATGAGGGGAATAATTTTGTATTTATCACACTAGAAACAGCCTCACAAACACATCCACCTGACATGTTAAAACTTTAAAATGGCACCTGAGAGGATGGCACATTTTCTGACAGCCAAGTCTCGACCAGGCATATGATATCAGCTTTGACCAAACATGTAGACTTCAGACTTTCTAACTGAAAGTGAGTTACAAATCAGTATTGTGATGCACAATGTTTCATTTTGAGACTTCGTTTTCAGATCTGTTACTTGTTAGCAACATTCGTAAACAATCAAAGTGCTATCTATTTTCACTGTAGCCTGGTGCCTTACAAGTTATATATATACAGATATGCCTTTGTTCACATTTGCTGCTACAGTCAAACCTGTCTATAGTGGTCACTCAAGGGACTGGCCAAACTTGACCACTATAGACAAGTGACCACTATAGAAAGATAGCCGGCTAGTTGCCCCCCCCCCAAAAAAAACGTGACACATGCTTTCACAAGTTTCAGTACCAAAACAGAGATGTCTTTATTCTCAAACATATGAAAACATCTTGTTGTCAGTGAGTGCTTCGCGCAACCGACATACGCCACAACAAATTCCAACCATGTAAACAAGTAATTTTGTACCAAGATGCTGTTCACTTAGTTAACAGCAAAAATTGTTCTTCAGTTGCCAATTACTTTCTGTTTTCGGTCGTTTTTGAACATGAAAATGTAGCGAAAACTTTCCTTTGTTTACATCGACTTGAATTTTCTTCCGGCATGGGTTGTCTGCCTCTGCCATTATGCGAATGTGGTAGTCAACAAAAACGCTGCTCATCTCAAGCTTACATATTTATCAAAACATCCACTACAGTCTTAAATTTACATCGTACATTATTTGTAGTAATGAATGTCAAATGTTTTTATGTAATTACGCGAGACGTTAACAAAGACACAAGCGACCGCAGGAATTTCATGTCAAAACCAAGTTTCCCTTTATTTCATGCAGTCTAATTTCAGTTTACATTTTAATAATGTAGCGATTGGAAAATTATCACAAGGCTCATTATAACGGCCTTACCCCGAGGTGGGGTGGTGTTACGGCCGTGGTGCTTAGCGGGTTACAGCCAGCCGCGACCGCTATCGACGGGGTTGATAGCCGGCGGGACCAGAATGTGTTGAACAGGTGACCGCTATAGCCACAATTCTTAATGCTTACGTCAATGGGAAAAATTCAAGGGACCGGCAAATTGACTAACCGCTATGGCCAAGTGACCACTATACAGGGGTGACCGTTAGTACAAGTACGACTGTATTTCAAACAATACTGATATATCACACAAGAATAATAATGCACAGATCATATTTTTGGGATGAAGATAATGCTGAAAGAAGGAAACAACATCACCAGCCGCATGTAAATTTGCAATGTCCAGTAAATAGAAAAGTCTACTGCCTCTTTGATGCTTGGTGTTTGTGTAGGTAATGACTCAGGCAATAGTAAATTCTATGAGCAAACTCTACATTGCCCTGTGCACTTAGATGCAGGCCGTCACGAGACAACATTGCGGGGTTTATGGTTTCGCCATTTTCATAATACTCAACGTCGCGATCCTTACACAACTTCTCCAAATGCTGGTTCAAAACGATGCGTTTGGCATCGAAGTGCTTTTTGTCTAGGCAACACGCTTGACATGACTATGAATGACGTGGGGAAGCGTTCTTTTGCAATGCCGATCAACCGGTCATAGTCCCCAACGTCTTCCTCTACGGTCCTACAGCCTGGTAGGGTGAGATTGTTAGTCCCTACGTGAATAAAAACCACGTCAGCAGCATCAAAGCTAGCAGGACAGTTTTCAACGTCCGTAGCGACCTGTGAAATGTTTGCACCGCGATGGGCATACAAAACTAATGAAAAGCGCGGATTATCACACAACGGAGAGTGGTTGTCCATATATTTGCAAATCGAATCAGAGAAAACAACAACAACGGATCTCTGACCTGATGGTGCGGCGGCCGCCATATTTCCAACCGTGCGATGACCTTGGAGGTGCTCAGCTAGCGACCAGTGTCAAAACGTAACAGTGACTATTATATATCCTGTAGTGCTCCTGTCAATCTCAGCAAAACAGGATCGTGACCTAGTAACCTTACCTCACGCTGGATATGTGAAAAGATATGAAAAAATGGACTTCAATATGAGCACGGAGAGACTACTAGACGACACAGAATTCTTGTGTACGTGAGCGAGTTTCCCCGATCTGGAGTCACGTGACGTTCCTCGGAATTAACCATCTATTCTTCGGGGGTAGCACAAGTAATGTCTAAATACTCTCCAAGCAGAGGTTTGACAATATCACAAACCGTAGATAAAAAAATACCTACCAAAAATATAGTGAAGAGTATTTTTTGTCAGTTTCCGACAAAAACTTTAATAGGGTCACAATCTTCAATTCATGTGCTCTGTTAGCGTTTGGTCACAAGCTTCAATTCATGTGCTTTGTTAGCGTTTGGATGTTAGTCTCTTGTTTCAGAGGCGGAAAATCGCTACAATCGTGAGGCGGCCTCTAGTCTCTGGGGCGGAGCATCGAGCCTTTGAGTTTGAAATCTTACCGCCCAGCCAGTGGGCGGGTCCCCGTCTGTGCGCTATGATTGGGTGCCCGCGGTCTGCTAGCTATCCTGCGTGCCGTTTCTATGGCAACGTTGCCCAGTCACACGAAATCAATTCTTGATCGTCGGAAACAAAGCCAAGGGCGTAAAGAACCTTTGAATTATGCTTCGCCCCCTCTTTTGTATAATGTTTAATCTCTCTTCCGCAACTCCGTGCGTCGACCTCCCATATCTAGGAGAAGAACTTCTCGAGTGGCCGTGTTAGATTTTATATCTGAGATAGCGCAGGTCGGGTGACATCAAAAGCAGTACTTAGCAGGCCGTCCACATCGCAAGGTCAGACAAAAATTCTAGTACCAAGAAGGTTGTATTATTTTGTTATCGTTCTAAACATTATTAAGCCACTAAAATTTTCGATATTAAAATAAACATTTGATTAAAAACACTTTTCGTTTGTGCTACAGTTATCATCATGCATAATTTGGAAACAAACATGCGCTGCACCGTCTGTCTGTAAAAATCTTAGTCAACATGGTTCTCGAAAAATCCCGCGGGATATCGCCATGAATCCCGATTTGATGCTTATCCCGTGTACTGTACTGTGTTATCCCGAAAAAAGATTGAAACTGTCTGACAAAACGACAAAATGTAATGTTATACTAGTATCCATGTTAATTGTTATATCATGAGTAATAAACGTAAACAAACGCCCCCCTCCCCCTGCCCCGCACCTACATGATTACAAAGTCGACAATAGTTACGGATGAACACAATTCTGTTTAATTTATTTCCAAAACAGCAACAAGCCTAAATCGCTAAACATACGAGATTCTATCAAGTCAGGAGCTAGTAAATTATTAGAGCTTTGTTTTTAGATTTGAGCCGGCTAGTTAATTGCTAGTGTTTTTTTTTTTTTGAGCCGGCGATGACATGCAAAAAGTTAAACAAAGTCTCCCGCGTTCTGTGGAAATCTGCAGTCCTAATTGTGGATATTGAACCCAAGATCCCAATGCAATATTCTCTACTCGAGACTGGTATTCATATGACCGTATTTTACGAAGAAAAATGAAAACTTACCGCTACATTGGTCCACTGATGTCTTCTCGTGTCATACAAGGGCGGATGCCCATATTTGGAAAGCTCGGGTGTTCCTTGCGTAGTGCTAGGGTCATTGACCGCGGTTATCGAACACGCTGTTCCATTGTTCCATGGTTGTTCGAATGTTCCAAACGCGTTCTTTTTGTTCGATTTTTGGCTTAAAATGCAACTTTTTTCACCCATTTTTTGCCAATAAAATCATTTTCTGACATCTATGTTGACCAAAATGACCAAGGTTCAATGTCTAACGTACCAACCTACCAGCATGCTGAATTTCATTTTCCTCCAAGCTCTAATTACGAAAATATCTACGATTTTTAGGTGTTTGGAGAAGAGGAGGAGGAGGAGGAAATGAGCAAATATAATATGTTTTCCTTCGGTAAACATAACAAGTCAAGACAAGGTTGATGTAAATTAGTGAAGAAGCTCCTGTTGTTTCAGAACAGGAGCTTAAGTGTTGTCTGTCCTTGGGGCCAAGAGCACCAAATCCCAAGTGCCAATTTTTCCTGCTGCAAAATTGCAGATTGTATAAACTTTTCTTCTGCAATGTTGAAAATCTATCTGCAGATTGCAGACTGCAGACAGGTATTTCGAACACTGTTCAAGTGTTAGGTGTAACAAGTCGATCGGTGTAATGTAGCCACCTGCCGCCGCGCCGCGTGCCTGCGAAGTTGGTGTGTTACACCGAAGGGCAGTTATACAGGCTATACAGATACAGAAGTGGCCACATGCAGCAACTTGCAATTTGTAGGTGATTTTCAAGAATTAGGATGTAAAATTTTACAATTTGACAAGTTGAAAATATCTTTTCAAAATTGCATGTAAGAGTTTTGCTAACATGCAATTTTGCATGTAAC